GAATCTGTATGAGAAGGATATTAATGTCTTTACTATTATGGAGGCTAATTTGACAACCAACAGCCTGCGAAACCATCTTTACAGGCTCAAAATTTTTCTTCCCCGTTATGCACCTCTGGAGGCCATGGACTCCACGCATCTACTGCACTGTCCTGCTCTGAGCAAGACTTTTTTTGCCCAGCGATATTGGGAGGCTAGAGATGTGTTAGATTAATGAACTCTGTTTCAGCATGTTATGTTGTATTCTCTGTTCTTTTTTTCTTTCGTTGTTCTTGTCATTGCTGTAATTGTTCATAATCTACCATTGGAAATAAAAAAAAAAATATATTTAGAAGTTTCCTTATAGAGTTATGCAAGTTTTAGATTTTATTATCACTATTTGAATAAAATTAGTAATTCAAGTAACCAATAGCAGACAAAACCATTATTTAATTCATAAATAAGAAATATTCATTGTGTTTACTGTCTATTTACAATATATCTATCGATATTTACAATGCCATTATGAATGTTGGTTAACTAGCAATGTGTTTTATTTAAAATACTTTTCAAATTTATTTACTTAATTATTACTAAAAATATCATTTTATCTGAAATTTTTTTATTGCTGATTTGTTCTCTGTTAATAATGATTGAGATTTATTAAGTATAATAAAACTGATGAACAAATCATGAATATGTTTAATGTGAAAAAATTTGATTTCAAATATCCGATATTCAGAATTTCGTTTTTCTTTTATACATGTATGTCAAACATTTTTTGATAAATACGATTTCAATTCTACAAAAAGCACTTCTATTTTCTAAATCAAATAATATTTCTTCCTTCTCAGTAAAAAAATTCAATCTTTATAATACAAAGATTTATGTTAGTGTAGACAAATAATGTAAACTTATTTCATACTTGAATATCTGTTTTCCGAAAATTTAAAATTTAAACTTATATCAATAAAATTTTTAATGAAAATGAATTTAATTTTTATAATTTTTTTTATAATTTTGAACTTTAAAAAATGATTTTAAAGTTGTTTTTATTTATAATATTTAGTAAAAAAAATTTTAAAATTCACAATATATGTAATAAAGAAATGGTTTTCTTAATAAATTTTAATGTTTTTTTCCCTGAGAAAAAAAAATTTCAGCATTTTTTTGTTTCGCTTTCCAAACGTTTAATGTTATTTGGAAATAATGGAATTTTCAGATGGATAGGAATTTTTTTTTTCTAAAGACGTGAAATTTCTTTCGAATATATTTTAATTTGAAATATGAAAAATTTCATTACTAAATAGTAAAAAATTAAATTTCTAAATGTTCACATTTTAATTTACTTTCATCTTAAAAAAAATGCCAATTTAAAGAAAAGATTATGTTTTTTTTAGTAACTGTATCATATTATAAAATACCACAAATATATTCGCATAAATATTTGTGAAAGGAGGATTCGAACTTTGCTGCTTAAAATCGAGCATCTTTGCTATAACATTTGGAAATTGTGCACAAAAGCTTCTTACACCCACTATTTGTTAACAAATAAAATTGTGCGCTTTCCCAAAATCCAGACAAAGACTATTTTTGTGACAGTCAAAGACGTTGAATATGAAATGTGTATCCCACTACACCGAGAAAATATTTTGGATTTATCTTAGAAAAACATATTTCAAAAGAAACTAAACACGATTCAAAGTGAGATGGAATTTACAGAGCAGATATTTGCATGAAAATTATGGGCCGTAAAGTAAACTGTTATTGATTCTCGTTATTTTAAGATCAACGGAGGTAAACCATGAAATACAAAATCACAATAAACATTTGTTTATTCTCTAAGATCTTATGTGCGCTCTCTTTCTTAACAAAACAAACAACAAACTATCTTCTTTTCTATTCATAGCAAAAATGTCTTTCTGATACTAAATGTAACTCAGTTTTTTCGTAGTAAACAAAAATAAATGCTTCATAGCAAACCATTTTTTTCTTGGTGTATTATGTTATAAATTTCATGTTGTGCAACTCCATCCAAATTAACGTTGTCATTCCTGAACTCGCTGCAGCTTTAACTATTCAAAAGAATGTTATGGAATTTTTGAATGTCTTAAGGTATTGCGGATAAAAATATCTTCAAAAATCGATGTTTTCATTCTGCTTTTACGTAACAGAAGGAACTATTATGCTTACATAAATATGAATTTTTTAGTTTCTTTAAGTTTATAATACATTTAAAATTAAAAATTATAATGCAAATAAAAGGGCCTCGATCATTAAGGGCCATGATTGTTTTGATGTTATTTTTTATTTTAAAATACTTTTAAATATTATTTTTGATGTGTATAGTTTATAATGCTATCTGTAAATATATAACTAACTATATTTCCAACTGTTAACGTATCGTATTTTATTTTTTATTGCTTGATGTATTTTCAAAATATATTCGATTGTAATAAATTTAAAAGCAATTAATATCAATAAAATAATTGAATCATAGTTGCAAAATATGTGTTGATAAAGAATCAACTTGCAGCAAATATTAAATAAAATAAATAATAATATTTTTAGGTGATACATTTTCAACTGAGTTCTTTAATTAATAACGCTATTAAGTTTAGTTATTCTAATAAATTTTGTACTGCGACAGTTGTAATTAATAAATTCTTGTTATGTTTAAAGATATTAATCAACATCGAATATCTAAAATATTTGAAAATATAAATTATGTATGCCGTAAATGTCACTTAATAAATGAGGCACAGTGAAGATTTTTGTTTTGAAATACTTGAGTATATGAATTGGCACTTATATGTACGAAATATCCTATAGCCAAACTACGCCCCTGGACATTTATCTATATACACATATAATTTTTTTTTTTATTATTTCAATGGCAAAGGCAAGTACAAGAAGAATAAAAATAGTAATAATAACAAAAAAATAACAAGGGAAAAATACAAAAATAAAAGTCCAAAAAAAGTGCAAAGATGACCGAAGTCATTGCCTTAAAAGTTCTCTCGCACGCCAGTAAAGCGCTGTCGCCGTCAAGTACCGCACATCGTTGGAGGTGGTCTGTGTCCATTGGATCTGTTGAACCACATAGGGGGCAGCCAGGATTCGAAAAGATTTTAATGCGATGGAGATGTTCTGCTAGACAGTCATGGCCAGTCAGAAGTCGGAACTGGGCGACAGCATGCCGTCGCGGATTGCTGGGTATTGCTAAAAGATCTTCAGCTCTCCAAAGCTTTGACTTAATCTCATCTTGAATTTGAAACTTACATATTTAGTGTATATAGATAGATGTAAAGGGCTATAGTATGTTTCAATAGCAAAACAGAACGAATGGTAATACTGGTAATAAAAAACTTCATTGAATCCGAATGTGATGGTTATTTTTAAAACATCTATTTTTATGTTATATTCTTTTGTATTTTTAAATGTAATTACCTCAAAATAAATATTCTATGTTTCAAAAAATTTTTTTCGAAAATTTGAAGTTAAATTTTATTTTAAATCTCACTATATCAATATTTCGGAGGGTTGTAATGGAATTCACATATATTACATTTATTTTTATTGACAACCCAAAATAGGACAATTAAACATATTAATTCCGCTACTATACAAAGGGGTGTGGTTATCATAAAATCAAAGTAAGTATATCAAAGTAATCATTTTAGAAGTCAAATACAATAAAGAAATTAAAAAAATGGGCTGATATTCACTATGAAAATGCAGATAAGAATTTTAAACTTATGATTTGTAGAGATATTTTAATAAAAGTGATTGAATAATGACGGTGAGATACAGCACGAAATTGATCTACAGCATTTTCACTGTGACGGACGCCCCGTGGAGTATGTGTTTCTTTCCACGTGTCGCTACATCATTAATTATCCATGCATCAACACTCTTTTCATACTCTTCCCAAAAGGTATAAAAATTTCAAACAGCTGCAGTTCTCACTATGTTTTAAAAGGCATTTACACATCAAAGAACATTCAGGTAAATGAGAGTTACATTGTATAAGCAAAGAAGACTGGTTTGGAAACATACCAATAGCATATTTTAATAACCTACCTTTGTGCAGTAATTTTCCTTATGACGAAAATTAGCATATGCAAGTATTTTATTGCATGTATAGAGTGGTTTCTTTGATGAAATACGTTACAGTGCCTTTCATTGCAACATTTACTTATAACTAGAAGCATTATAGTTTATTTATTGTTTGCTATTTAGTGACACTTATTTGTTATATACCATTGTTAAATAATGTTTTTCGTAAGTAGATTATCTAATTATACATTTTTAAACGATATTTTTAATGGAGTTTTATTTATTTGAATATTTTTTATACATTGAGTATCAAAATTTAAGAAAATAAATTTTTATATTTGCACAGAAAATTCCAGCAACAATTTATATTACGAGGCCTATAGTTAAAATATAACATGAAAAATCTTACATTGCAAATAGTTACGTGTTAATTCTGTGTGTTCCAAATATTTATTAATAATTCTAGTATTATTTTCTAAAAATATTTGTGTTTCGATAATGTATTCTTTACGAATGAAATACTGTTCAGCTCATTAATTTAAAAGAGTCTTTTAAGTAACATTCCTGTTAACTTAAGGAGCGTTCATTTACCAGAGAAGACTAACGTACCGTTACATGCTTATCACATAAACGGAAATATCGCATCCCTCTTCTTTTATCCATTAATTTATCTTACTTTGACAAGATTAACAGTGTCATTGCACCCCGTTGTCCAATTGAATTTCTTTCTGATGCTTTACGGTCGGATAAAATGGTTCGACATTCCAAAGGATTGCGAACGACGAGGAAGAATTCGATAATTACTTCTCTCTCCTGCATTTTCTGGATGGTTACCATTTACCATTTCCTGTATTTTCTTGATTGTTATTTGGAATTGTATCTTTAAATGGGATTTGTAACGTAACGGCTGATGTTTAGTTGGAGTACCGAGGGTTATACCCTGTACTTCCATACAGGGAGCCAACGGCCATACCATGCTGAATATACCTGTTCTCGTTAGATCACCGAAGTCAAGCATCATTGGGCGCGGTCAGGGGTGGGTGACCCCTGGGAACACCGCGTGCCGTTGGCATTCACAAATTTGGGACCTGAATGGCTGAGTGTCTAGCGCTCTGGCGCTCGGTGCCACAGGTTTCGGGTTCAAATCCCGGCGGTGCCATGGATGTTTGTAGTGGTTCGGAATCCACTTTAAGCCGTAGGTCCCGGTTTCCCATGACTGTAAGAGCGTCACGGAGCCAAAGCCAGACTTCTACCTACGGGTGCTCCATCACAACAGAAGCTGCTTCCTTCCCCTTCAATCATGAGTACGTATGGGCTCGGGGGCTTGGCCAGGCAAGTGGGATAAGAAACAACAACAAACAACAACACCTCCATATCAATAATTACTATTAAAAAGTTACATATTTATAAAAACCAAAAATTTTTAAAATTTATAAAAAAAAAAGAAAATAAAAGAGCACATGCTCTGTAAGGATCAAAAAGGAATAATTAGGATTAGTAAATCAATGCGGGATTTCTATCACAAATGCAATGTATTTGATCTTATTGCAACTAATAACAAGATGGTATATTAATTTCAGTTAAACCTAAATATATATTATTACCAAAAATTCTGTTGTTTTGGAACCCTATGTAATTTTTGATCATCAGTTGTTTTTAGAAATAATTAGCTATTTATAAGTACCTAATTATAAATGATCTGTGAACAAATTTAAGCGTTCTTTAATACATTAATTTATGTTTTTGTTTTATATTTTTTTGACATTTATGCAAGTATTTATAATAATATATTGTTTTCAGTCTTCTTTCTACCACTGTAATTCGGATCAAGGTTGGCATTTGGAGGAATCGCATCCTCCATTGCACCACCTTAATCCCAATGGGAAAACTACCAGTTTAAAGATTTTTACGCGAACATGTTTGACATTATGAATTTATTAAAATATTTAAAATTAACTCTCCGTAAACTCATTTAGTATACCACATATGTAAAAGGACCCCACATAGGAATCATATAGAATTTATTGATTGAAATGAATAAGAATTAAGAGTAAATGTAACTTTGAAGAAAAAAATGCAACTCTGTTTAAAAATATCTTAATTTCATTTATATGCAATTCATATTTTTTACTATTTACATGTTGAAGACTCATCACCATTGGCGCAACAGCCATTAGCGATTTTTTTTACGGCAAATTATAATTTCTATTGAAGAATAGAAATTATAATTTGCAGTAAAGAAACAATCTACTTATATAATTTTCTAAACACTCTTATTTAAAGCACTTGTAAACTATCGACGTATTTGAGATAAATTTTATCACCTAAGTATGTCAAATGTCGTTGTTATGTCTTGAACAGACTGACGAAAAGGGATGCGATGGCCTCCTGGTAATATTATAGGTTCTCTTAAGAGCAAAGGCTTCGATTGTCCACGACACGTCCGGAAACCTTCCCCCCAAGATCATCTGTTGTCAATACCAGATATCTTGTTACGTCGTCTTGTGCCTCTCGGTTCCTGAAAGTTGTGATTCATGATGTTTTAAAAAAAGGAAGAGGTTTTTTGCTTGTTTTCTTACGACCTGTGCTTGATTTATAGTACAGGACCTGCACAGCAAAAATACCCTGCGTGGTCGGTCTGGTAAGTGTAGATCACATTTTCACTGTGCGATTTTTATAATTTTAAGTTAATCGAATAAAAAAGGGACACAAATTGATCCATTGACATCTTTCGCAGAAATCATGGATGTATGACACTTGGCTTTTATGAATATATAACATGGAAATGTAGATACATTTTATGATTCGAAATCAATCGTGCTTTGATCGGTAGAATTTTTTTATTTTATTTTTCAACTTAAAAAGTATCAAAACGGAATGAATAAAATGTAAAATAGTTTAAAGATTATCTATAAGACTTCATTATTATTTTTTTGAAAGATTTTTTTTGAAAGATTTTTTAAAGCATTGCGTTTTTTAATGTATGTTTTTAGAAACTTTGATGCTCAAATAAAACTCCAAATCTAGAGAATTTAAACAACGGATAAATAAGCGTTTTATTAATAAAAAATAAGGTAGAAAGTAGAGTTTTTAGCATATAAAATATTCATGTTTAAGAGACAAAATAAAACTTTCCTTTCTAGAAAATTTCGAAGTAGGAAAATATTCGGAAAATATTCCAAATTGTGTAAGAATAAAAAGTATTGTGGGAGAAATCTGAGATTACCAGAACGTCAAAAATTCATGGAAGTTCTGCTCCTTCATGAATTTCCATAGAATTACTTCCCCCAGAGAAAGATTTAAATATTCTTTTTAGAATGTCTAGGAAAACAATATTTTCTTTGTTTTCATATAAAAATGAATCCGTCTCCGTAACAACTCTCCCTAGATGTAAGAAACAATAATAGATATTTGGAAACAAAAACTTGTCTCCAAAATGTAAAATATGTTGATTGTTTATAACTAAAAATATACTATAACTTAAACAAGTTGTAAATTAAAACATCTACAAATTTTAGTTCCTTTTACGTTCGTTACAGCTCTCACTGTACTTAAGAAATAATAATACATATATGGAAGCAAAACTTGTCATGAAAGTGTACAATTTATTCTTCGTTTTCTAAACAAAGAACAAATATTTGCAAACAATGTAATAAGATATAATATGATATATAATATTATATCTTATTAATATTATATATCATAATACATAATATAATTTTATTTATATTATGTATTATGATATATATATTAATAAGATATAATTTATAATTTTAGTAATACATAATATAATATACAATATATAATATATAATATATTGCAATATTATAATAATGCAATATATAATAATGCAAAAAAAATATTTTAAATTCAAAACACTTGAATAATTTTACATTAAAACGTCTACACATTTTAGTTCATTTTAAATATATATATTATTTAAAAACTAATCAATATTTAAAAAAAAAAATAGAATAAGTGAATGCTCTTGCAAATAATTTTAAAATGATAACAAATCAGATACATGTACTCTGTACTCATACAAATGCAATACATACTGCATACAGTTTGTCATGTATTAAAAATAATGTGATTCAAATTGTTAAACTTCTTTAAGAAAGTTAAAAAATCCAAGTCACTTAAAAATAGTGAAGGTGATTTTCGAAATAGTTCAGCACATCTGATGTCTAACAATAAGGCTTCATTATTTTTATTTAATATCTTGGAGAAATCTGGCATTAATCTCAATTATTAGGAAAGCATCAAGGGTGCAACAACACATATTAGAAATATGCAACATATAATATTATATATGGATCAAAGACCAGTAAATTATGTCAAAGAATAAGTAGAGATCATTTCTCCATTCACCAATATAGTTTAGTATTATACACCTGGTTCAATATAGGGGCCACCCACACACTTTATGGAGACACTGACATAGCACCTAGGCTTGTCTGTAAAATAGTCTCTTATTGTTTGTGAGGAATTAAAAATATATTAAAACCTGAAGCTTTTTCCCAATTTAGTTAAAAGTTTATAAATCTGTTTAAAACAATTAAATAAACTATTTTAAATACATTCAATATTTCTAACTTCAACTATTTGTACAAATTTTGATACTTGAAATTAATTTTTGATATTAAGAGATAATTGTTAATTTTTTTCATATTTTGGGACACTTTTTTTATATTATTTTCATTATTTTAGATAAATTATATTTCTATGCTAGCTATAACATTCGTTACTATGCTGATAAAATATCATGCCGAAAATCACACGAAAAGCTATTCATGATATGAAAATATATTAATTAAAATTTTATTTCAATTAATATATTTTTTTCAAATTTTAACAAAATATTTACATTCTTTTCATGAAAGAGTAAAATGAACTTTTCATGAAAATAATGTAAATATTTTGTTAAAATTTTGAATTACTTTGACGTTACAGACGTGATGAATAAAACTGTATGAACAATTTAATAAGTTAAAAAATTGAAGGAAATCTAATTTTTTAAAAAAGAAAATAAATTGTTTTTTAAGTGTAAAATTAGAAAGGGGTATAAATACTTTAAAATGTAAAATTAAATATTTTTAAATTGTAAATTAATGGATATGAAAAGGGGTTTTTTTTTCCCAATATTTATTTAATTTTATTAAATTATAAAAAAAAAAAATTATAAAAATTTTATTAAATATTTATTAAATTTGAGATTTTTGTTCCGCCATTTCATTTCTTTCTATAATGATTTCATATAAAGGCAACCAAATATAAAAACTAAAAAAATTATCCCATGCCGAATCTAATAACGCAACTAAATATTTATTTGCGTATCTTGTAAATATTTTTTTGATTTAAGCAACTGGATATTTTTTTCTTTTACAACTTCTGTTAGCTTTAAATGTTGTGGCTCAGAAAGTTGATTGTTTTAAAATCATTCACAATTTATTAGAAAATATTTTTATAAATGCAATTTTAAAGTTTGTTTTTATGTCTAATTGATTTATAATCAAATTAAATTTATAAAATTAATTAAAAACATTTATTTTTGAAAGTATCTTTTAATTTTTAGTTTTCATGTTTTTTCTAGGGAGGGCATAATTCTTTCCGGTGTAGTTGGTTACAAAGGATCTAAGAACAAAAATTGATGGACCATAAAAAGGAAATGAAATGCTAGAGAATTCCATTGAAGTTGAAATTTCGGAAGAATAAATAGTCAAGAAAATTAGATCAGAACTCAATCAACCCCAACCCAATCAGTCAAGAAAATCAGATTATCCTCCACAGCGAATGTGTAATGAGGAAAACAAATATTTTGAATTAGAAGGGGAAAACATTTTTATTATTAAGGGACATCCACAGTAGGCTTAATTAATATTTATACAAAAAACATAGTGAAAAATTATGCCAGAAATCATGGTACCAAAAGATAGAGCAAAAGTCAATTATATGATCTTTTTTTTGTGTGTGTGTGTGTGTGTGTTAAATAATTATAAAATAATACACAAAAATACACTAAGTAAAAAATTATTACACTTGAATGACAAATTAAAATTTTTATCAAT